ACATGAATCTCATATGTGTCCAGTTTAAGGGTATTACACAGAAACACACCATAATAACATGAATCAAATATGTACTTTATTCATTTACATTAAATGTCATAATGTACATCATTCTGATTGGAGCTAAGGGCATACACTATCTAACACCTGACCCCCCTCCTCTACGCTAAGGATTAAAGTTTTCTTTCTCCTTTCATTTGCAATTGCGTGGAGAAACTTAGTGTTGCCATCTCCTTCAACAATCCATTAACAACTTGGTTTTTGTCTCCAACAGATTTCCTCCTTAATATTTCTTCCAATTCTTGCTTGAGTTTCCATCAATCCTCTCTCTCTTCTTCTAATAAATTTCTAATAGCCTCTTTCTTGCCTAGCTCCTCAATCTTCCTCACTATTTTATCTTTTATTTCTTCTACCCTTCCAAAATGCTCTTTATTCCATTCTTTTATTTTCCCTTTTAGCCTCTTTAATTTCCTCACAAAGCTTAACATTTTCAAACTCCCCAAGGGCCTGAGTTCATGCCACCAATCCTTCAATTTGGTCTTAAATGTGTGATCCTCAAACCACATATTTTCAAATCTGAATGGAGTAGGGCCACCCCCTAGAATTTCTTTTTCAATGGAAATGGGGCAATGATCTGAAGTAACCCGAGGTAGCCCTTTCACTTACTATTGAGGCCCACAATTCTTCCCAATCGGGAGTAATGAGAAACCTATCCAGTTTGGAACTGGTTAGGGGGGATTGAAAATTTGACCAAGTATAGTCCACCCGTAGCATCGGAGGTTCACACAGTTCAAGGAAATCAATTAAGCTATTAAACTTTCTCATGCTAGTAGTGATTCCTTGGTTCGGGTTGTTTGTTTTCCCCAAAAAGCTGATGACATTGAAATCACCTCCCACACACCATGATCACTCCCAAATTCCCCTAATAGCACATAACTCCTCCCAAAAAGCCTCCATGTCTCTATAGGAGTTAGGACAATATACATTGGTTACCACCCATTCTCTCCCATCCGATGATCTTCTAATTTTTAGGGAGACTGAAAATCTACCAATCAATCAATTCCTCCACACATTCCATTTCCTCATTCCTCCTAATGGTCAAAATCCCTCCTGAGGTTCCCCATGATGGGGCATAAGACCAGTTTAGGCCCCTGCCTCACCAAAAGCTTCTTATCCATCTTCTATTCATCTCTAATAGTTTTGTTTCTTCAATCAAGATCAGATCTGGTCTTTCTTTTCTGTGAGTATTCCTGATTGTCCTCCTCTTTTTGGCACTTCCTAGACCTCTTACATTCCAGCTGATTATCTTCATTTCAACCTACTTGTGAACCCTTATCAATAGCTGCCTAGTATTCCCCTCTTTTTCTTTTCAGGCTCCTCTCTTCCGTCTTCTCATAATTTATTCCACACTTAAGATTCTCTAACTCGCTTTGCTTCCTTCTTCTTTGCTTTCCTTTCTTCTTCAAATATATCTTACTTCCTTCAATCTTCCTTCCCACTCTTCTCTTTCCTTCTGACTCTTCTTTCTCCTCCTGATTCAGCCTCCATGCTCCCACCTGGGTTAAAGTTCGGGGTACAATCTTTGGTTGAGTGATGGGGTGGTTATTCTCCGAATCTAGGGTCGGGTCAAATAGGTTTTCCAGGATTAAGGACCAGATTCTAGCTCTCTTGTTCTAAACTGTTGTCCGATAGGTCAGAATCTTGAGCTGTGGCACTTCCAATTGAGAGATTACCACGAGGAATGGCACTGGATGGCCCTGTGCAATCAGAGAAGCATAAATTAGAGGGGACTTGAAAAGGACTCGCAAACTGAAAAGGTAAACATAAAGAAGAGGGGTTAGGGACTCCCTGAACCAGCAAGTCAGAATCCTTCCCTTGATCAATACCCACTGATTCAGAAACCTTGGCAGGCAAGTCTAATATAGCATCTACCTTTTGTTCCTCTTGTGCTTCTTTGTCCAGGTTAGTGCCAAGATCCGGCACTCCTTTATTAGTATCTTGATGTTGTGCCTCCCCTAGGAGTTCTCCATCTTCTCTACTGACTGAAACTGAGTCCGCCACATAGACTAGGGCAGGACTAGCACCCAATTCTTCTCTTGGAACCAAGCTGGAGTAGCTAGAGGATTCTTCAAACAAAATCTCTGTTCCCAACATTTCATCGTCCCACAAGATGCAAGTTTTAGCAGTGTTAACACTTCTGATACTATCTTCTAGCTCCGACTCATACACCTCTTACCTTAGGTCTTCCTAGTCACTTTCCTCTTCAGATTCGTAACTCTCATGTCTATTAAATTTTGGATTGGACTTATCAGGAGATGTGGAGTTGTTTGCCGACACCGGCTTCCATACCCATGTGGCAGCGCCTCCTTTGCTGGTGTCTCATGGAGCTTTAGGGGTGGCTCTGCAACTTACAACAAAGCCGCAGCAGGAGGGTGAGCAATAGGGGTCGAAAGAGACGATGATAGACCCCTACTACTGTCAGCCAGTCTTTGGGCTGAACCACGCACCTGAACCCATGGTTCGCTTGGTTCAATCATCGGTTTGAAGATTAGCGCAGATTTAAGTTTGAAGAGGTTTTACCGCCTCTTCCAGCTGTCACCTCTGCGAAAGATTGCATTTCCTATTTCTCTTTTAATTTTTCTCTTTGAAGAAAGAGGCTTGGACAATTCTCTTGATTGTGTCAAGCTCCTTCCAAGCTAGGAAAGGATGGAAAAAAAGAATTGTCTAAGCCTCTATCTTGATGATGATGAGGAAAATCGCCCAACTTGTTGCATGCAAAGGATGAACATGTTTCAGCTCAACTGGTGATCTAAAGGGTTTGAGACCTGCTATTCTTGGTGTGTCCTGGGAAAGTTTGTTGGTATTTATTATGCCTATTTCTAAGCTAACTAAGCATTTTTTCCTAGGGAATTAAAAATGGGTCTTTTTCAAGCATGCTTTTTCTTATAGCCCTCTACATACAAGAATCCTTCTTCAGCTCCTTTTTCTTTCTTTCTTTCAAAAAGAAAAACTATCATGAAGCTAAAAAGAAGAAAAACAAATCATGAATATGCATACACTGTCAGATTGAAAGATAAACAAACCTGCCATTGTGTAAAATCCATATGGGTGCTCTTCATAACCAAACATTTCCCTCAGCTCCTCTCCATAGAATTTGTATACCAGCATACCCAAGAAGGCTACAACCTACCAAAAGCATTTCCCAACTTGAGTTCATTAACCATCAAAACCACATTAGAGATATTTCTAGATACACTCTTGCCTTATTCAGAAAATTGTAAAAGAAAGAAGCTTGATATCTAATCAATCAAATTCCTTCATGTGAATGATCCTAAAATCTATAAAATAATTATTATTAGTAGTAGTTCATAGAGAACTCATATTGGAACTGTTAGCGTAGGGGTATTTCTGTCTCTATAACTAGATTAATGTTGCTGATCTGTAATGTTGTGTTGGAACCAGTGCTCCTAACTTAAATAAGGGCACATATGTCTTTTCAATCATTTTTAATAATATAAGTTCTGTCCGGCCGACTGGGAGGAGGTTATGTTGAGACTTCCAGTTCGAACCAGAATTTCCCCTTCTCTCTTTCTCTCTTTCTTCCACCTTTCTACCTCTCTCTACCTAACCGATCTCAGACAGATAGAATTCTAAGGCAGGCCAAATCATAACATGGTATCAGAGCTGATTGAATCTGCCTAGATTTCTATTCTTTGCACACCCTATCTAGGGTTTCTCCTTTTTTTTCTGCATTCGATTGGAGATAAGGGAAAGGGCTGAAAAGGAGTGATCGCCCTCTTCCCTTGGAAGTTTCTATGCCTCTAGTCAGGTCGTGTGTGGTCAGTTGCTGTGGTTTCTAAGATCGCTCTCCTAATCGATGAAGAATAGAGGGCCGATCTATGTGGTGCAGTGGCTGTCGTGTGTGGAYKKATTTCCTGCTMGTGTGGTTGTTACTTCAGTGATAAGGTAAGAGATCTCAGTGCATGATATCTGTTATGGATCAAATAAGAAGTGTGTTTCAGA